AGTCTCCGTGCAGATGGTCCCTGAGCTCCAAACTCCTGTCCAGCTGCATGACTGTTGTCTTCACTGGATACCCCACGAGGATCTCAGACTTCGCGTGTGCAAAAGAACTCTTGGCCCCCTCCCCCAAACTCCGGCCCAGGAGACCTGGGCCAGGCTGCTTCCAGGAGGGGCTGCTTTAGCCCAGGTTCGGGGGCGTGGGGTGTGGGTGTCCTAAGCCACTCTTTATTCTCCCCACTCACTCCCCTGACTTTTCTGCCCACAAAGGCCCAGGGCAGCAAGGACGGGAAGCCAAAGCAGAAGGTGATCATCGCGGACTGTGGGGAGTTGTGTGAGAGGCGCTCTCTCTGCTCCCCTCTCTGCTCTTGCTCCTGTGCACCCAGGAGGAGCTGCCAGCCCCAGCTGTCTGAAGCAGGCACTGTTGGTGGCATGAGCCCTTCCTCAGGGTCAGCTTGGAGCAGGTCCTCTGCCAGCACAGCCTGGACTTTTCCCAAGCGTGGCTGTGGGCCCCGAGCCAGCACGGGAGCCGCCCTCCCCACCCCGGGCAGCCTATGTGTGGCCACCGGCTTTTCCTGGCATTTGCTGCTGGGTCTGTCCTGGGCTCACCAGTCTGGCACCTGGGATGTTTTCTTTGCTAAAATAAAATCTTAGTTATTTTACTTTTGCTTCCAGCGAGGTCCCAGGTGTTTGTAGAGGTTGCAGCTGGGACAGGCCATAGCATTTTCCCCAAGGCCACCCTTGCCCCTTAGGCCAAGTCTCTGAGGAGACACCCTATTGGCCCATTGCAAAGGTTCCTCTGTCTTCTCGCTCCCTCTCCTCTCTCTCCGCTCTCTCTTCTCTCCTTTCTTTCTCTCTCCTCTTCTCCCCTCCCTCACCTCTTTCTCACTCTCTCTCTCTCTCCCTCTCTCTCTCTCTCTCTCGCTCTCGCTCTTTTTCTCCGGCTACCAGGCAGGCAGGTGGGTGAGCCGGGCTCCATTCCTGCTCTCACAGCAGCTGGTCTTGTTTCTCCTGGGCACCCAAACACAATCTCACCGATCTCTTCCCTCATTATGCGCTCACTGAACCACAGTCAGAACTGGATTCCTGCAGAGTGCCGAGGCCGTGCTTGGTGCTGGGGAGATATAAGCAGACACAGGTGGTTCCTGCCTGCCCCCAACCCCAGGCCTGCAACCAGAGGTGCAGTCTGGTGCCATGGTTTGCAGCCTGTGCTAGGCTGGCATCTCGCCCTGTACAAATTTGGGGCCAGATAGGCAGCACCTCACGGCAACTCATATGCTGAGGCTGAGTCCCTCAGTCACCAGAGCCTCCCCCAGGGCTGCCACCTGCTCCCGTGCCCCCTCCCAGGAGCTCCATCTGGATCAGTCTCGACACTGAGAAGCTGCGAGGCTGGGCGGGTTCTCTCCACCCGTGTTGTCAGAGTGGAGATCAGGGTGAGCCTGGCAGGGAGGGGCGAGCCTGTCCCAGCCCCCCGTGACCCTAGGCTGGCTTGGTTTCTGCCTTTAAAAGAGGCTTCTACCCCTCCATCAGCCTGGGCCTGCTCCCCAGATTGGGATCCAGTGCACTGCCTGCAGTGCTCCCACCAGGGACCCTTTAACAGAGGTGTCCCTCTTACTGTTGGTCGGTCATGGCCATCAGATGGGCAGCAGTGAGGCCAGCCACTCAAGGCTGCTGTGATGCCCAAGAGAGAAGAGGGTGTGTGTGAAGTGCTCAGCTGGCTGGCTCTGGGGGTGACATGCAGGGAGGGAACAGGCTGTCTAAGGCCCTCAGAGGGAGGACTAGTCAAACAGCCCTGTGAGACGGGGCTAGTTGGGGTGGGGGTGGGAGGTCCTTGCTGCTGTGCTTCCCTGACTGCCCTGGGAAGGTGCGACCAAGGGGCTGGCCAGGGACGCCAGTGGAAGGGGAGCCATTGTGTGGCTTCCCCAGGAGTTGTCCTGCTGGATGTACCCTTGACCCTTGTACACTGAGGTCACCTGAGTCTCGGAGGTGAGGTGCCTGCCCCTGCCCCAGTCACCCACTCCTTCAGTAGGGTCCTACCCTCTTCTTGTGCCAAGTGCTGCACAAAGGAAGAAAGTTCCCGGTCGAGGGATCCTGGGCTAGTGGCCATTCTGTGACCACGTGACCTGAGCACCGTGCTGCCCACCTGCCCTCTGAGCAGGGAGTTGTGAGACCTGTTAGCGAGGCAGACAATTAAGGCAGAACCCAAGGGATGGAACGCAACTGAAGATTATATTTTCAAAGAATATTTAATAATGGAAATTTTCAAAATATATCATAAATTGAATAAATCAGATCACCAAGCAGTGCATAGAGTATGATCTTGACTTTATGAAATATCTATACACCATATATAAAAACAAACGTGTATGTGCCAAGAAAAGGCAGGAAGGAACTGTTGACACTGGCGATCGTGGTGGATTACGGCTGTTTGTATTCCGTTTTTTGTTATTCTCAAAATTTTCGTCAGCACGCATGTAATATATTCTTAAAAGTTTTTTACAAGGGGGGTCCAAATACTTGCTTCAAGGCTTTCCAGTAGGAAGAGAAACTTTGGATAGGAAGTTCCCCCTAAGTGTGCTGTGAGGATACTGTCGGGCTAGAGGAGGGCCACACACCTGCCACTGTGCCTCGCCGAGACCCCCGCGCACTGGTCCCCGCAGGCCCGGGCTCCTTCCACAAGCAGGTGGGGTGTAGGGCCACACCTCATCCCAAGAGACGACCATGTTTAGATTTTTTAGGAAAAGCACAGCTTTGAGGTATTAATGAATACAGCAGCACCTGCAGGGCACATTCTGGGAGTGGATTTTAGCAGGAAGGCACACAGGGCAAACCCAAATTTGCAAGTCCGTTTGAAATGAGACTGCACACAGATGCAGTTTATTCCACACGTCTGCGCAGGCATGGTGCCAAGAGCCCTGTGGCACATCTGACCCCGTGGAGGCCTCGCAAAGGCAGGTACCCCCTTCTCCAGAGGAAGGAGCAGGTGCAGAGGGTGTGTGATGTGGTCAGATTAACAGGCGGAGCAGGACGTGATGCCAGGTCCACTTGGCTCTAACTGCCCCCCTTCTGTTCACAGCCTCCTTTCCGCTGGAATGGTCGGGATCACCTTACAGCGCACGCCACCTACCCGCAGAGACAGCGGGGCAGGACTGCTGCTCACCTGCCGTCAGCTGTGCAGATGCGGCCCTCCCTTTGTGTCCTCCCTGCCGGGGCCAGCGACTCGCCGTCAGCCGCCCGAGTGGACTGCCCTTGTTTACGCTTCTAACGTGCAGCCTTGAACGCAGCCTGGGCTGCCGGACGCGGCAGGACCAGCAAGGCGGCCTTGGTAACTGAGCACCAACGCTCCTCAGCTTGTGTCCAGGATAACCTCCCTTCGCTGAGGCCTTTGCTGTCATTTGGTGCTGCCTGAGTGGCCGAAAGGAAGACTGTGGCCGTGCCTTCCGCGTTGCGGCTTGAAAAGGGAGGCGCGTCCCGATGCTCACGTGCCTGGTCTGCGCACCTGGTGGGCGAGGCCGGCTGTGTCGTCAGAACATTCCCTTCCCAAACTCCTGGCGACCCCAAACCATGCCCGCTTACGTGCCGGGCAGTGAAGAGACCAAACATTGACATTTGTCCAGTAGTGTCCAAACCCCCACTGCCCCTGATGTTGGGAGGAGAGAGTGGTTACATTGGGCCCTGAAATGGCAGGTGGGCTCCTGGCTTGTGCCACTGGGGCGCTCAGGCCTGGGGAGAGGGAGGGGCTCGGGCGGCACAGATTCTCTGGCTGGTAGGGCCTTTGGAATGAAAGAGTCCTGTGTCCTTGTGACACAGACGGGAAGCTGAAGCATGAATAAGAAAGGGGACTTGTTCTGACACCAAGCCAGTGGCTGAGCCGGAACCAGAAAACTGGTCACCTGACATTCAGGCCAGTGCCTTGTCCAATCCCTGCAGCCCGAAGCCCTAGGCTAGTGGGGAGCTCATCGTCTTCCAGACAGCCAGGCCCGGCCTCATGTACATGGCAGGGTGTCTTCCTCTGCGCTGGCACACGGAGGCCCTCCCTGGTCCAGGTGGAGGGGCTGCTGTCCCGCAGCGTGGCCCCAGCCTCCACCCCTGCCGCCAGACCTGCCCTCAGGGTGCAGCATGTGAACTCCAGAGAAGCGCATCCTTGGGCACACGGTGGTTCTTGCTGGGCTGTGCCTGTGGATGGGGACAGGCCCAGAATCTGCTTTGAATGGCACAGTTCAGGCAGCTGGACTCTCTCTGTTCCAGCAGGTAAATTACAGGCTTAGCAAGTCAGAAATCAAATAAACACCCCAGCTCCCGGCGGCTGCTCCAAGGAGAACAGTGGTTTCCGGGAATAGTGGGGACTGAGACAAACGTCCCCACCCAACCCAGTCTAATTACCACCTGTCACTCCCTGGGACAGGGGCCTTTTCTTTGACTCACAGACCCAAGACACAGGACAAGGCTGCTGGGCACGCAGGGTGAGGCAGACTTTGGTGACCAGCCTGTTCTTAACTCCTAGACACAAGCAAACACTGACAGTCCCCACCCTTGCCCCAGGCCTGGCCAGAGGCTGCCCGGTCACATGCTCTGGGGGGAGTGGAGGGCTCTTCAGCGGGGCAGGAGGGAAACCGGGTTCATGCCGACTCAGAACAGCCGGTGCTGGCTGTCTGCAGTTCCACGCTGAGGTCCTGAGGCCTGTCCGGGTTCTGTGGGAGAGGTACACAGGTTGATGATTCATTCTGGCCATGGGCAAGGGGATAGGCCATGGTGGCATCTGCCCTGCCAGCCTGGACCATGAGCCACAGCCACTGTCCTTGCTTCTGCTAAGAGTTAACTTTATCTCAGTGCCGAGCCCACCATGAGTGAGTGTGGCAGGGGCAGTTGAAGGAACTGGAAGCCCCCAAGATTCTTTGCCTCTCTGTGGGCCACACCTCTTCCCCAGGCCGGAAAAGGGGCAGGCCCGGGGCAGGAAAGACACATGCGGTAACATGTCCCCCCCAGCTTCAACCTTAGGTCATGAGTCCCATTCAACTTGTTCTTTTTTAATGTGCTAAAACTATGCCCTCGAGCCAAGTTCAAGGGATCCAATAATACACTGTGCTGTGGACATGTGCCCGTCTAATTATGCCCCAGAAATGCCATGTTGCACCTGGGAAGGGGCAGGGCCCTCCTGCCCACACTCACACCCTATGGTGAATGGTGCAAAGCCCAAGTCAGCCAACCTCAGACCAGCCAGGCTTGGCCACTCTGGGCCAGGGATGGCCACAGACAGGTCCCAAGATGGGACTTCTGTGCTGACCCCAGACGGTGCGGCCAGCACACTGTCCAGCTCCGAGGCTGCTGTGTGTATCGGGCCACCAAAGGGCTGGGCAGGGAGACAGCCTGCCCAGGGGAGGCGGCTGAGGTTTCCTGCTCCTGGGGCAGGACCTGACCCGGATGGGAAGGGGCGGCTGTAGCAGGGCTGGGTGGGCAAGGGCCTCAGTGGCAGCCGCAGGCCTTGACCACCATGTTGCGGTGCTTGCGCAGGATGACGTTGTTGCTGCTGTCATAGTAGAGCACAGAGGTGGCGCTCAGCTTGGTGGGCGCACAGCACGCCTTGGGGACTGCGTCCGGCTTCATCAGGTGCACCTGGGCAGTGAGGGGTGCATGCAGGGGCATGAGCCTGGCAGCCTCCAAGGCCTCCCCAGCCCAGCCCCCCGCTCAGCCTGCTCCCCGCCCTGGCCTGTCTCCAGGGTGCCCCATCAAGTGACCACAGCAGCTGTCACTGGTCTGCCTGCCTCTCACACCACTGACCCCTACTGCCCACCCTCCCACCACAGCCAGGCCCTGCTAAACACCCCCACAGCTTCCCAGGGGACTTGGAATAAGACCCACCCTCTTTTCCAGAGACCCCCAGGCCCGAGGAGAGTGGCCTGCCCATCCCCAGCATCACCGCCCCCCCCCTTCGCTCTCTGTCCCAGCCCCGCCTCCCTGCTGGCCCTGAAGCCCCCAGGCTCGCTCCTGCCTTAGGGCCTCGCACTTGCTCCTTCTGCCTGAACATTCTTCCTCCAGCTCCCAACATGGAACCTCCCTGTGCACAGAGGCCCAGCCTGGCACCCTCCCCTGAGGGCCCGACTTCTCTTGGTCACAGGACGCGTGGTCATACTGGTGGTTTGCTGACCAGCTCACCCACAGCCTCCCCCAGACGGTAGCGCCCATCTTCCCTGCTGCCTGGTGGCTCGTGGAGCCGCTGGGGGCTTGGGCTAAGTGAGTGGCAGGGGTGTGTGGCAGAGGGACCGGAGTCCGGGGAGGTGTGATCACCTCCCCAAGCACCTCCCTCGCCTGATCCTGAGAGCCGCAGGGCGCAAAGGCTGGGCTTGGCCACCCCATGAGTCCTGTCATTCCCCTGAGCTTGTCCAGGTGCCCTGACAAGGCCATGTGACCCTGAGAAAGGAAGTGTTACAGGTCACGGCCACTTTTGCCAATTCCTTTCCTCTCACACGGGCATCACCTTCGAACAACCTCTTACTAGAAGAACATAAGGCCGAGGGATCCTAGGAACTAGGATTCTGGGTAAAAAGTTCTGCAAGGAAGTCGGTGCCAGAATCGCCATACAAACACTTAGCAAGAAGCAGCAGCAACGATGTTTCCATAGAAACTTTTCTTCATCTTTTAAAGTTGCCCCAGACACTGAGGCATGGAAAACCCCACAGTCGAGAGAAAACACAAACGGCTGAGGAAGAAACTAGGACAATGCCAAGGGGTTGACAGCCGGAGCCCGGACTCGCCCTGCCCCCACCCCCATGGCGGGGGTGGGGAAAAGCGCCACACGTCCCTCACGTGGTGCCTGTGTGTCGTGGTCAGACTGTAACCGGCCCCAGGAGCAAACACACAGTGACGCCCCGTCTGTGCCTTCCCTGCGGCTTCCTTATGCTTGGGGTTCCCGGGCCGTCGGGCTCCTCAACCAGACGTCATAATCTTGCTCTTCCACTAACCCGCTCCCTTCTGCGCCGTCTCCCAGAAACGGAGAGCGCCAGAGGACATCGGCGCACACGCCACCCTCCCTCCCGCCGCTGTCAGCACAACCTGCCCCACACACGAACCACCTTCCTGAGCCCCTCACACACCCTGCCCTCGGGCGGATCTGAGGCATCGCTCGTCTCCCAGGAGGTGTCACCTGTGATAAATTATCAGGCCTCCTTGGCCACCCTCGCCGCCTCAGTGATGGGCTTCTGTGCCGTGAGCAACAGGGCCAGAACCCCCTTGTGGGTTTGGTAACGAGACACGCCAGTGCACACAGGGACACGTGTGGGTCAAGATCACGCAGGTCCCCGAGAGACAGGTCCCCCATGTCTACTGGGTGCCATGCCTGTGACCGTGAGGAGCGGTGCCTGTCAGTCTGGGTGCCCACACGCAGGGACATAAGTGACCCACATGCGCGTGTGCAGCACACGGGATGTGTACGTGTACTGAACCATGTGTAAGTGCGGGTGTAGCCGTGTTCGGGGCTGTGTCTGCGTGTACAAGCGGGGCCGTGAGGGAGCGGATTCTGCAGAGCTGCGGGATTTCACCACCTCACCGAGCCCACGCAGAGAACGCGCCCTGAGACCCGGAGCAGGTGCCCTCGCGGCCCTCCTGGCGCACCAGCCCCTCTCCTCAGGCCCGGGCCCGGCGTGACGGGAGACACTGACCAGGGACTGCAGGATGGCGTGGTTGGTGGCGTTCATGCAGGAGTCCAGAGGGAAGGAGCACTCCCCCTCGCAGTAATAGGCCGAGTAGCCTTGGGGGGCGATGACCCAGTCCTGGGGACAGGGGGGAAGGTGAGTCCCAGCACGCGCCCCTCCTCCGCCCCCAGTCCTGTCAGAGGGCGCGTCACAGGACGACCCAGGACTGCCCCTCGCCTCCCGGAGCCTCAGGGCCATCCGCCCACCCTCAGGGGCCGAGTCCACCAGGACCCTCTGCAGACAGAGCCCGAGCTCTGCCCCTCACTCCCGCCTCGCTCTGTCCTCCCAGCCTGCCCCCCGCCCGCGCCCCGGGCCGCGGTCACAGCCACGCCCGGGCACCGCCGCCCATCTCGGGTCCCTGTGGCAGCGCCCACAGCCTAGCTGGCTGAGGATTCAGTCCTCATTTTCATGGTTTTTACAAAAACAAAAACCAAAACAACAGCAAAACCTCTTCTTCACTGTAAGTAACATATTCTCACTTTAGAAAACTTGGAAAACAGAAAAACAGAAAAAGAAAACTGGAGCCGGGCTCAGCGGCTCACACCTGTAATCCCGAACTTGGGAGGCCGAGGAGTTCAAGACCAGCCCGGGCAACATAATGAGACCTGTCTCTACGAAAAATAAAATAAAACAAAAATTAGCAGGCCGTGGTGGTGCCACCTGTAGCTCTGGCTACTTGGGAGGAATGAGGATCACTTGAGCCTGGGAGCTTGAGGCTGCAGTGAGCCATGATCGCGTCCTGGCACTCCAGCCTGCGCAAAAGAGTAAGACCTTGTCTCAAAAAAAAAGAAAAAAAGAAAGAAAAAAACTGGGCTGGGTGTGGTGACTCACGTCTGTGATCCCAGCATTTTGGGAGACCAAGGCGGGAGGATCACTTGAGGCCAGGAGTTCAAGACCAGTCCAGGCAATATAGCGAGACTTGTCTTTATAAAAAATAAAGAAATTAGCTGGGCATAGTGGTGTGCGCCTGTAGTCCCAGCTACTCGGGAGTCTAAGGCAGGAGGATCATTTGAGCCCAAGAGTTTGAGGCTGCTGTGAGCTGTGATTGTGTCACTGAACTCCAGCCTGGGAGACAGAGCAAGACCCTGTCTAAAAAACAGAGAGAGAAAATGGAAGTCACCCATAACCCTATGTCTTCCCTGCAGATACACGTGTGAGCCACACGTGGGGATTTTCATTTAAGAAAGACGGAGAAGGGTCAGAAATTACCAGCCAGCCGAGGTCCTGGAAGCTGACGTAGAGCTCGTGCCGACGGCAAACCTGCCGGCCGCCGGAGCCGTGGACGTCATCTGCAGGGACAGACGGGACAAGGTCTTTCTGGCGTTCCTGCTCTGTGCTGTGCCCACGGGGTGCTAGAGTAGGGGTCGCCCTGATGGGCACATTTGTTGGATAAACAAATGTCAGGAAACCATTTGGTCTCATAAAGCCCCCCTGGAGCTCTGCTCGTGCCATGGCCCAGCTCAAGAGCACTCCGTGGCTCCCCGTGGCTAGGGGAGCCCTGAGGTCTGGCCTCCCCTGTCTATCAGCCTGTCAGCCGCCTGAGGCTCCCATAGACAGCCCAGCAGGACCCTCGGCCATCCTGGGCCTCCTCTTTCTTTCCCCTGGAGACCCCTCTTGACTCGTGCCCACCCCCTCTCCCCACACCCATTTCTCGCGTTCAAGTGGCTCCCATCGAGGCAGCCAAAGCACTGAGTCTCTGTGAAGGAGGACACATGGCCGGGTCAGACCTATCCCTGGTCCCGAGGGGCTTGGCCCTGTTGGGGGAGACCTTCCCATAAACAGCTGAGGGTCCTGCAGGGCGCCCGGGCTCCAGCTGAGGCAGGCTCCTGGGAAAGGCCTGGGAGAGCCAGGGGAGCAGCGACGGGACTTCCGGGCGGCAGGGACAGGCAGGGCAGAGGCTGCGAGGCCTGCAGAGTGGAGCGGCCGGTCGGCACGGTGCCTCAAGCAAAGACAGAGTCGGGGACGGTTGCTGGAGAGTGACCAGGGCTTAAACTGAACCGAGGGCCCCGAGGCTCTGTGCCACCACCTGGTTCTTGCCCCACCTCTCGGCCAAAGCCTGCAGGGCCCAACCCAGGCCAGGCCCGGCCCTCACCGAAGATCCCCGGGAGTCTGTTGGGGTGCGGCAGCTCGTTGGTTCTTTTCGGCTGCCTCCTCTTCAGTGGCCTCACTGCCCGAGGGGCGCGGACGGGGCTCGCGCTGGCCCTGAAGAAAGTGACCATGAAAGGCTGTCTGGCGCGTGGTGCCCGTCGCCCCAGCAGACCGGCCAGGCCAGGATCCACGCTGTGCCCTGAGACAGAGGAGAGGGTCACTCACAGGTGGGGGCCCTGCACGGGGACACAGAAGGACCTCTCACCCCCCCCCCCTGGGCCAGGGGCCTGGAGCCTGAGGGCCTGAGGGGCCGGCTGAGCCTCAGTTTCCTCACCTGAAGCCCAGAGGCCCCAGTCCAGCCCCGGTTCCCTGGCGGCAGATCTGGAGGAGGCGGGGTGAGGGGCCTCATGAGCCGCAGGCGTGGGTATCAGTGATAATCACGACACAGACGTTCGTGTCGAGTTGCAAAGGATCTCCCCACTGGCACCTTGCAAGAAAATAACAGACTTCTTTCCTGGGCTCACAACTGTTTAAAACTTAAATCCACATAATGAAAATAGCCTGGAAAAATTAAAACGATCATGTAGGAGTTGAGGAGGGGGTTAGGAATATTTTTTCTCAAAGGCTTTTTACTGTGGTTATTATGTTGCTCTCACAGTAAGAAAGGAAGAGAGGTCATTTGGAACGCAAACAGGTGCAGGGGGAACTGTGGGTTTGGTCAGGCTTCGCGTGTCCAGGGTCAGGGATCAGGGTTTTAACGGCTTCCTCGGTCTCCGGGCGGCTGTGGGAAAAATCCCTTTCCACAGGCTTCGCGGACCTGGGGCTGAGCCCGAGCCAGGTCCCGCCTTCAGCCTCCCGTCTGTCTCTTTCTTTTTCTCAGCCGTCCTGGGCTTGGGCTCTGGAATGAGACCGACGGGGCTGAGCCGGGCTCCGGGACTGGGCTGCAGGGCTGGT